GAATTAACATATTCATAGTGAGAGTGTGAAATAGATTCAAATATATTTATTTTCAATGAATTATGAATAAAAATATAGTGGTATTAGTCATCGTAAAACTGGTTTCCTGCGTTATACTTCTAAATTCTAAGATTTACTCTTTTTCTCTAACCAGTATAAAAAAGAGACTTAGAATTATTATTTGTTTGACAAACCTTAATTCATAACAAAATTTGATTGTACGGTTATAATGCACAACAAAATGAAACGAGTTATTAGGCATAACAAAATATAATAACACATGTGAAAAACGTATATGTTTTTATATATTGTATACAAATATACAAATACTTTAGTTAATGGTAATTTCTAGAAATTTTCTTGAAATATATCACCTTCAAGGTTTTAAAGTGTTGAGTTAAATTTTTTAAAATCCTGAACTTAAATGCAGCTATTAAATATAATTCAGGATTAAAATCGAAGTCAAAGGAAATCCGAAAATCAATTATTTATTATATTATAATTTGATGAGTTAAGTACAATTTATTATGTGGATTTTACTATCTAAATTTTAGATATGCTAGGATTTTAAGTTCTAATAGTTTTAATGTGTTTTTTCTAATCATCACGTATTGATGAAATTTGTAGAGAATGTAAATGAAATTGTTAACAATATATAAATCTACAGTAACGATGAAAACGACTTATAGTAAGATAGGGTAGAGTACAAAGGACCAATTTGACTTTGAGCAGTTATATTGTAAAGACTAAAGCAATCACATCACAGCAAATAACACATCAAACAAAGAATATCTAACTATGTTCAGTAAAAATCCCATCATTGTAGAAATGTATTATATTTTTTGCTGATTTTCAAAAATTTGTCATGCAGTCTTTTTTAACCCATAGGCGGTAAAAAAATGAAAAAAAAAATACTTTTATTACAGATTTTCAAACATTGCCGTTTATTTCCCGATAGCAACGCAAGAACCAAGGTGATACTGGTTATACATCTTTTTCCCTCTGTTAAAAAAATTCTTAACCTTACTTGTTTTTGAGATATCGGTGGTGGACCATTTTACCAACGGACCTTTAAGCCCCGTTCTAACCTATATTTTTCTGAACGTCTGATATAGCGTCTATTTAAAAAATGCACTTCTTGTCTGGTACATTAATATATTAAATAGGATATTTTTATAAACAAGATATAAACAGAGTTATCTATCAGGTGTAGGAATTAATTCGTAACGTTCTACAAAATATGACGTTAGCCACCTATTTGTAGCCACAAATTGAAAAGTAAATATTCTTCTGGAAACTACTGATGTAGTGCATTTTCACCAGTGTTCGAAACTTCGTTATTGTGTTTGCAGCAAATTTTGCCTAGTATCAAACATGTTGATGTTTTATTTATGCCTGAAAAATAAATTTTGCGGCAAATAGAATCAACATGAAAAAAATTGCAAATGCTAGTCATCTTATTTGACATGACTCTATCCGATTATCATTTGTTCCGATCCATTGTTCATCACCTAATATTGCATCAAATTCATTCATCGAATCTAGAGAAGAATTTTTTCCACGTGGTATCCGAGCTCTACCAGAAAGATAGCTAAAAACAATATTTAACTATGGATAATATTTTGAATAACGCTACTGTAATGATACTCTCATAATAAATCACGAAACTTTGGAAAAAATCGCTACGAATCAATGCCAACACCTATATATAAATATGCCATACTAGAATATCCAAACAAATTATACTAAAATATGTGAAGTATTATCGCACTTTAATAATTCCATCAGTTTACCATATATTAGCCAACAGCGATGAATGTATCAAAGAACACGAAACAATTTTGATTTTGTGGAATAAACTAAATTGCATATCAAGCAGGACTCATGCAGATTTCGAATATTCGTCCGAGATGACTGCATAAGTGCAGAGAATATTAATTCATACGAATTAAATTCGGAATCTGTGGTAGCCATCCGCGTGTACACGTATTTGAACAGATCGCGTCTAATTACATTCCAAAGTAAACAAGCAGCCAAGTCGTCCGTGTAGAGCCACATAGAATAGCGCATGACCGCCGAATGCCGGCAAATATTTAGATGTGTCACGACTTGAGGTAAACTTGCATTTCAAACACAATTTACGATTTAATTAAATACCTGCAGCACAAATTTAAATTTCAACTGCACGCCGTTCAAATGACACATTTTATTAGGAAAAATAATATGAAATATTTAGATGTTTAAGCTCACACATTCAATTTTATGATATTTTCTGACTACCCGAAAAATTTTTTTCATCTCATGAAATCTTGTTTCATAGATTTTTCGGTGCTTCATTTCATTCTAAATTGCTTAGCAAACGCATTGGGTTTTTAGCTTCCAATGATTTCATTAGAAATATTTGTTCATAAATTCTATTCAATTATAATAAAATTCTAATAAAATCTACAACGATTTGCAAGATATAAACTTTTTAATTATTACAGATTATCGTACAAATATATTTCTAACCATTGTAAAAATAATCATCAAAAACTACCATCACTTAAATAAATCATTGGGTAGAGCGAGACTTAAAGGTCCGCGGGTAAAATGGTCCACCACCGATATTACAAAAACAAGTAAAGTTAAGATTTTTTCAGTAATAATATAACAATAAAGAAGAGAGGAAAAATGTATACCCAACTATTATCTTGAATCTTACGATCTCGTGACCAGGAGATAAGCAATGTTTGAAAATCCATAACAAAAGTATTTATTTTCGATATTAGTTTTTTCTGTTGTGAGCACTGTTGCTTAGTTTACGAGACCTTAATACAATTTTTAAGTATACGTTATTTAATTGTTTTATAAAATGTAATGTTAATTCTAAGTTAGACGCAACAGTTTATTTATATAACGTCTAAAAATCTTACACGCGGGTGGGTTAAAAAGCACCAACTGAATCTTTACCGTAACAAAGGTGTATACAATAAAAAATAGTAAATGTAAATTAAGTTAAACATTTATATTTTGCATTGGTTGAAAAATATAATTATTATTTCGTAAAATCCCTTTAAAATTAAAAATAATACTCTGGCCGTCCCATTTTACCCCGTATATGGGCAAAAAGGACTAGGTGACAATTTTTGAGAAACAATGAAAAAAAAACACATTCCTGCAATGATGATTTAGCTGAGAGTTTCACTGAACATAGTCAGTTGTTCGTTTGATATGTGTAATTTGTTGTGATGTAATTGGTTTGATTTTTACAATTTAATTGCTCAAAGTCAAATTGGACCTTTGAGCCCCGCCCCACCCCTAATAAAAAATAAGTGACACCGTACCCAGAGTCTCGATTTAATTTTTTTTATTTCACCACATAATTTACAATTGTCTTTAGTCGATATCTGGTAAATTTAAAGATAATATAATTAGATTACATATGAATAAATTGACAATAGGAGAAGTAGCCAGTGTTACTTCTACTTCGAATACAACTCGATTTAAAAACAATGCAATTAATTTATTTGCAAAATAAATGAAAATTATGAGCAGTTAAAAATCGTATTTTTTTTAATAGCATTCACTAAATAACAAAAACTTTGTTGCAGAAATTTATGCGTGAAAAAATTATTTCAAACTCGCTACTTTTCCTTACTTATTTAAGATAAAATTTTGCATATGATCAAGTATCTTAAAAAATTGATAATGACACAAATTCTGGAAAAATCATTTGAAACATATGGCGATCAAATTGACAAAACAGAACAATCATAATTTCGAAAGTTTATGAAAATTTTTGTAAATCAATTTCTATTAAAAATGTAAAATATATAAAATCAAAACAAAAAAAGTAGAATCGAATTTCGGCACTATGACAAAAAAATGAAATACTTGAAAAATTTTACTACTATTGTAACACAATAGAATATTATTCATTGAATAAAATTGTTAATAAAAATATATAAAAATTAAAAAGTTTGAAATCAATGGATAGAATTAGAAAATACAAAATAAAGTCGGAATAAATATGAAAATATTGAAAAAGCATCTGTATTTGGTATATGATAAATGTATGCATATGGCTGCTTATAAACTTATAAGGCCAATGAACTAATAAATGAAAAAATCAGAAGTGTCAGGTAATAAACACAATACATGTTTTGTTGTAGAATATCTATAGGTTTGCAAAATCAATTAATTAAATCAAAAATTATAAACAACTAGATATTACGTTTTCGAATAACGGAAAAATTTAACAAATATTCTTTACAGATATAAGATCAACAAACTAAATTATATACCTAATGATTGCGCGATTTAATAAAAATAAGATTAAGTAGGCCACTAAAGCAAAAAAATCTAAAATACTAATTTCATTGATTACACAATTTCAATATTATCAAGCATAATTGAGAGTACAGTAAAAAGCAAAATATAAATACGGAATTAAAGTATCTATGTGAAAGTTAAAATGACGAATGTATTCCCCATAAAAATATTATAGAGTGCATATTGAATTATTAATTGCTAGTATGCATAATTAAATAAACACAACATGTCATAGTATGATTATAATATAATTACGTTGATTGTATTAGAAAACATAACGCGAAAATATTGGCAACTTGGATAAATGCCAAACTACTTATTAACGGGCAAAATCGTTTAATCCGTTAACAGATATCTACGATGAAAATTAAATAATACACGAATTGAACTTTCAAAACATAAAATACTAAAAGATATAATCAAATCAATTTTAAACATTATTTATAAATATGAACACTTATATTTTGAGCTTATTAGATTCATATTTATGAATCAGATCGATATTATCAATGTGTGCCTTATAGTTTTTAATACATATTCAATTTTAATAAACCCAGTTCATAATCGAATTGTTCAAATAATATATGCATACTGCATATAAAATTTTAGTTTAATTGTAGGTAATTAATAAAATGCTTATATTAAAACATACAACAATTAGAAAAGTTATTTTTAAATTAACTTACTTATCGGCTTTTTATCACAGACATGTTGAAGTTCGCCAGAAATTTCCGTTGAATGCCATCAACTTCTGCAATTTCTGTAGAAAAAAATCGCAAATTAGAGCATTGTCAAATAAAATAAATCATAATAAATAACAAGATAATACAATATAAGTCTCATACAATATTAAAAAATATTTTTACCAATTTTTTCATAGTTCGTCCTTAATAAGTCTTCTAAATAGCTAATCAATATTAAACATTACTAACTATGAATATCAATATTTTATGTTCGATTTTATTTCACATAGATTTTACTGTGTGTAATTAATAAATATTCAACAGACGTGCATGCAAAAAACGTTCCTCAAGTGATAATGCACTATACATTGTTATGCATGAAATATTATCGGACATGCCTCCTCATTGCAGTGGCGGAAATATGGAGGTTCGCCCAAGGCTGAATTGGCGCGAAATTATTTCTGTTATTTAATAAAATCTATTTAAGAATAAAATTAATTAATAATAATTTAACATTTATTGCATTTAAGGTTTCATACCTATAAGGTTTTCATACTATACACAAATATATTACATCCTAAAAACAGACTATTTTGTTGTTCTTTAGAAATATCATCAATACAATATGGATCCCTAAAGAATTGTAATGTTTCTTTACTTATAAAAATTAGAATTTTATTTATTCAATTATTACATAAACAATGAGCCATTTTTTTATGAACTTTGCCAACACAGTTTAGTACTTCTTTTAAAAGAAGAAGCCTTTCAATGTCGACCGATTTTAAAAAAATTAAATTTATAGTTCAACAAAAAATCTTAATTCCTGAAAATGGGGCAGTTGTATTATTATTTTTTATTGTGTTCGCAATTACAGTTCTAAATTTTAAGTGAACAAAAATAGTAAAAATTAACCACAATAGCAAAAGAATAGTCATAATTGCATCGAAGCTCTAAGTTGAACTTAAAAGCTCATAATTTCCAAGCAACGCGAGTTAATTTTTTTCAAAACAGTTAAAGTCAATACTATCGCCCCCTTTCTTTTATATACATATATATATATATTAACAATTCGTAAATTTTAACAGTAAAACGCCATAAAGAAACTATTTTTAAATTTACCGATATTTAACTTCTAAAATTGTCACCATATTTCTCTTACTAAAATGTATGATTTTGATATTTATTTTATAACTTGGAATTAATTAGAAAAGTACACTTCAAATATACTACAACATTATCTAAAGTTAATGCTGTGAAAAAACACAGTTTTCTCATACAAAATTTTTAACAAATAATTTTTGGAATAGGATACTTGCAATTACTATCCGAAAATTCAAACAAATTCTTTTACTATATTATAACACACTGTAAAAAGTTGATTTATTTGGGAATTTAAAAAAAAAAATAGAGCTCAAAGAATATTCCATCATTTTCTTATTTTCTTTCTTTTCATATTTTTCATCATCTACAGATCTTAATAAAAATTCAGAAAATTAAATCAAATCAAATCAAATCAAATCAAATCAAATGCATATATAAAAAAATCCAGAACAACTTAAGTTTAGTTGCCCTGCTGCAGTTTAGTTTTAAACTAAAGCAGGTAAAATGCATCAATTTTGTATATGCTCACAACTTTGGAATAAATCCATTAGTTAAGGTACGCTAATGTAATGTTATTAACATTAGGTATGCAAATCTATATTATATATTTATATAAAGGTTGACAAATATCTCCCTTCCGCCTTTTTGTATTATAAACCAAGAGTAAAAAAGCGGAAGGGAGATATTTGACAACCTAATATATATATATATATATATATATATATATATATATATATGTGTGTGTGTGTGTGTGTGTGTGTGTGCGTGAGTGTGTGTGTGTGTGTGTGTGTATCAATAGGAAATTGAAAGTACAGTAGAGCCTCGATTACGGGACTAATTGTTGCGGATAATCGAATAATGTTGTCTATTTATTTAAAATAACAAATACTTACATAGATTTCAAAGAAAATAATGTCTATCAAGAAATTGAAACTTCCTATTCATATACTAAAACGAAGCATTAATCATGCAAAAATTTAATTCGTAGTGCATACATATAAAACGGTCGCTGTTTGGAGTCCGGATAACCGCGAATCTGTATAACCGAGGGCCGGATAAACGAAGTTCTACTCTAGTGTTATTTATCATAATAATTTTTTTTTTAAATATGTGCATACATATAAAACGGTCGCTGTTTGGAGTCCGGATAACCGCGAATCTGTATAACCGAGGGCCGGATAAACGAAGTTCTACTCTAGTGTTATTTATCATAATAATTTTTTTTTGTAAATATCTCTACCCAAACTTTGTGTCTCCTATATTCCTATATTAAATGATCCTATCGTTTCTGCAATTACGTTTTTGTAATAAGGGCATATTTCGTACAAACAGTAAAATTTTAAAGAGGTAATCAAATGTTAATTGTCCATCATTGCTCCGTAACCGCAACTCTCCATGATATATGTGCATAGCATATCCTTATCACTTCGTTCAAGCTATGCCATTCGGATATGAAATACATTATTGATGCTAAAACTTTTAGCATGACTCTTAACCTCATCGATGCAACTATTTCAAGTATCTAGTTAAAAAGTTCAAAAATCCATTATTAAAGTACTATTTCTATCAACATAAACAGAACTATGTGGCCTATGAGTTGTGATTTAAATTGCTTAGAAAGCAGGCCAGTGATTAGTTGCCCATTACCTTTTATGATAAGATTATTTTAAATATACTTCTTATAGTGAAGTGAATACACCTACCCTCATTTTACACAGCATTCGTTTTCGATCTTATACATTTTATGAAAAATTTTTTTGACGAAATTTATAAACTTTGCTTTTACACTAAATTATAAGCAATTTGATTTTGTCTACAATAACATTTTCATTATTTTACTGTCAAAGTACGATAGCACAAAATGTATGTTACATGTTACAGTTACGAATTGTTTGTAGTCTATGTCTATGATGAAAATATGTAGATAAGGTGGGAACCCCTTTTATGATCAAAACTAAATTTTAGGTGTGTATAAGTTAGTTTGGTGGGCTAAAGCCCGTGAATAAATAACAAAAGCTAGTTTGTTAGTCCAATCAATTAAGCTCAAATTAAGTAAGCATTTTGGAATTCGAGATACCCAGCTGTAAGTTTGTAAATACCTGTATATTGACACCTAAAAGTTGTCCCAAAACTTACATTAGGTAGGGTATATGCAACATATGTAGGTTGTGAGACAAATTTTAGATGTCAATATACAAGTATTTACAGACTTACGGCTGTGTATCTCGAATTCCGAGGTGAACTTACTTAATGAATGAACTATGTTTGAAATAGCAAGACATTGTTTTGACACTTTGTTTTTAATTAGTTTTATATATAAATGTTAGCATAAATTTATTCACGGGACAATTATGTTTTACAAAATCTATAATTTATAAAAAAATACAGTCCGACAACGGCAAAAGATAAAAACAAAAAAAGGTAGAGCGTGAAAAAATGGTTATATCTTTAGATACCAAAATTAAAATTTTGAACCATGTCCGCAATAATGAATTAATATTAATATTCTCATAATTCATAAATAAATATTTTTTTCTCATTCAATGTGTTTGTTATTCATCATATTCGAGTAAAACGGGTTTTTATAGAATCTGTCATTCTGTGTATATATTTCAACATCTCGAATGATTATTATCGAATGATTTGTATCATATATTTTGTATCTATAATATCAAGTAAAAATCTAATATCACTACAGCTCGATATCAAGCTGGTCAAGCTGGGTTGTCAGAAAAAATAGAGGGATCGTGGTATATAATGAGCTAACAGAATATAAATATATGTAATAAAGTTAAATAAATCGTAAAGCTTTCTAAATTTTACTTAACTATTGTTTATTCATATTATTCTAAAGAAAAGTTCATATTTCAAACAAGATGTAACTTTATAAACTTTGCATAAGCGTAATTATTAGTAAATAATTAATAAATTTAATAGATAATTAATTTATAAATTATATCAAATAAAACAAACCACAGGAACAAATTCAAGCATACGAGTTTGGAATCATTTATTATAATATTCTCATGAAAAAAGAATATACTTACAGAAATCCATTTAAAAAAGACTAAAATAATAATATAAAAGGTAAGGATTTCAAAAAAATATTTTTTGGATTTCAAATTGAAGAATTAAATAATCCTTGATAAATTCATATTAGTTTGAAGTTTGAAGTTAAGTATAAAACTGATTTTACTCACGCATCATTTATTTATACGAATTTGATCAAACATTAAGAAAAGATTCGATATTTCCAATATAAATTAGCCTTAAAAATTATGCAAGGGCGCAGAAATAAAAACTTAGGTCAAATAATAATTAAAAGTCATCTTATAATTACTCAATATTGATCATAATATGAAATCATGGTTAACAATATATCATATTTTTTGTATTATGCAATAAATTACGCACACGTGAAACTATGCGATAAAAAAATTGAATAAAAACTATATGAATCACTTGAGATGGCTATCGTTATGTTCAAGTTTATAAAAGAGAATCGCAAAGTAAATAAGTTTTATGCATTTATTAAAAATGGAGTAAAATTACAAGCAAATGTATACATCTTGTTAAATAATATCAATAATTTGAAAAAAAAACACATATATTATCATAATGCAAATGAAAGATATAGCGTCTACTGTAATGCAATTCTCATATCTACAAACTATATATGCATTCCTTTTGATCTTCTTGACTTGAATCCATGTATGATTTTTGTATGATACAACTAGCCCCAAGGCTTTGTTTCAACTAACCCCAGGTTTGATTTTTTCACAATAATCGAAATGTATTTAACGTAATAATTAACTATTTATGCAATTTAACGTATTATCAAAGATTGATGATAAATTTGAAACGATTATGTGGCCTAACTTCCGCGGTCGGTCAATTAGACCGCTGGACAATAATATTATTTGGGGAATTGTTTCCTTCGAAAATAAAGTGCAGATTGATACAAATAACACCAAAT